TGAAAGATACAAGTATCAATACGCGTAGTGGCGCGGGGTAAAACCGGGGGGACCCCGAATTTTACTGTCAACAGCAACTAGGGAATAGGAAATGACAACAAAGCACATGATCTAGAACACCCAGTTCTTGGAATAGTTTTTCGAGATTTTTCCTTTAGCCTTTTGGAATTGTGTTCTTTATCAGTTCAATGAAATTCCTTCCAAATAAGGACTCCCTCATAAAAAGGTGTGTAATTTAAACCTGTCTCTTTCAATAAATCAATTGACTTTTTTTTCATCAAAATAGTTTTCATGCAAGAAGTTTCGAAAGTGACATCAAAAAATAGTACAAACAATGCTTAATGAACTTTAAAGTAGTCTTGAAAGTTCAGAGAGCAAAAAAATGGTTTCCCTTCAGAAGGTAGGTTTGCTATTTCTGTACCATCAAAACAAACTTGAAAACTTAATACTCCAGCAACTTTTTGCCGACAAATCCATGTTTATTCCTTGTTAGGGGCTTCTAAATTACAAGTTACATTAAACGTATCGCTTTCCTATCCAGTACTTAGGAGACTTAAGCCACGAAAAATTAATTCATGGCGTTGAGACAAACAAATTCTATTTATTTGGGATTTTGGTACTTTTGTGACTTCCATACAGATCTTTGATCATCCTCAATGTTACATACCTTATGGGCATAAGCCTGACAGTGGCGAGAGACTTGGATTGACTTGTAGCCTTGTTAGGGGCTCTGTAGGGGCTGGCTTGAGTTCGCCCTAAGCTACTCGGAGGAGTCGCAATCGGTAGCAGCGGCTCGCTCAGACTTGAGGGTAAAGAGGCACTTCTGTTGGTTAGGAAAGTGTGTGTCTCGGGGGGAGAAAACTGCCGGACTTGAGGCATGATCAATTCCCTCTTCGATGAGGAAAGTTCAGTTTGAGTTAACGTATTCCAATCCTGCGTTCGCGGTGGCTGCGGACGAGGATACGAGGATACTTTGGTCGGGGGCTGCAGCGGGACAAAGTGCTGGGAGTGAGGGTGGTGGGGCATTGGGTGCCGCAAAGATGCTACCGCCTCACCCGCGTACTGGTGCTGTCGTGCCATTGAGCATCTCCCAGCGAACCCTACTTTTCACGCTTAGTATTGTTAATATGTTATCAAAATCACATTCATCTGAAAAAAGAAGGTACGGGTTGAGAAAAAAATCTGGTCAGAGTTAACAAAAATAGTACCTATAATCATATTAATTCAACTAATTTTGCGAAGATAGTTGCTCTGAATATATTACAACAGCTGGTCTCACAGAGAAAATGTTTTTAGCATCTTTCTTCAGACAATCAATCATATCAATCTATAAATAATTTCTCTTAAAGGATACCATACAGTATCATTAAGTCCAGTGCAGCAGGCATCACGTCTGCGCAGGCCACGGTGCAATGCAGCAAGCATCACGACTGCGCAGGCAACGGTGCAGTGCAGCAAGCATCACGACTGCGCAGGCCACGGTGCAGTGCAGCAAGCATCACGACTGCGCAGGCCACGGTGCAGTGCAGCAAGCATCACGACTGCGCAGGCCACGGTGCAGTGCAGCAAGCATCACGACTGCGCAGGCCACGGTGCAGTGCAGCAAGCATCACGACTGCGCAGGCCACGGTGCAGTGCAGCAAGCATCACGACTGCGCAGGCCACGGTGCAGTGCAGCAAGCATCACGACTGCGCAGGCCACGGTGCAGTGCAGCAAGCATCACGACTGCGCAGGCCACGGTGCAGTGCAGCAAGCATCACGACTGCGCAGGCCACGGTGCAGTGCAGCAAGCATCACGACTGCGCAGGCCACGGTGCAGTGCAGCAAGCATCACGACTGCGCAGGCCACGGTGCAGTGCAGCAAGCATCACGACTGCGCAGGCCACGGTGCAGTGCAGCAAGCATCACGACTGCGCAGGCCACGGTGCAGTGCAGCAAGCATCACGACTGCGCAGGCCACGGTGCAGTGCAGCAAGCATCACGACTGCGCAGGCCACGGTGCAGTGCAGCAAGCATCACGACTGCGCAGGCCACGGTGCAGTGCAGCAAGCATCACGACTGCGCAGGCCACGGTGCAGTGCAGCAAGCATCACGACTGCGCAGGCCACGGTGCAGTGCAGCAAGCATCACGACTGCGCAGGCCACGGTGCAGTGCAGCAAGCATCACGACTGCGCAGGCCACGGTGCAGTGCAGCAAGCATCACGACTGCGCAGGCCACGGTGCAGTGCAGCAAGCATCACGACTGCGCAGGCCACGGTGCAGTGCAGCAAGCATCACGACTGCGCAGGCCACGGTGCAGTGCAGCAAGCATCACGACTGCGCAGGCCACGGTGCAGTGCAGCAAGCATCACGACTGCGCAGGCCACGGTGCAGTGCAGCAAGCATCACGACTGCGCAGGCCACGGTGCAGTGCAGCAAGCATCACGACTGCGCAGGCCACGGTGNAGACGGCAATGCTGTCGTTGGTCTCATCTCGTGCTGACAGTTCAGACGGCAATGCTGTCGTTGGAGTCATCTCGTGCTGCAGAAGACAGAGTGAGCCTGTATCGAGCTCCCACCTATAACGGGAGAGAGCATTGAAGATTACAGTGACTGGTGATAATGATGGTGAGTTAGGATAATGTTGATTGTTGATGATGGTGATCGGTTAAGATGGTGATTGATGATGACGCTCTCAGAAATGATAATTTCCTTCATAGTAAAATAGATAATTCACACAGTTCATTTGAGTAAACGTCAAATATATGCAGCTGCAGTGAATAAATTCATGATAAATATATATTCTTTATGGAATCAATAAGTGATAAATCAATTACAATTATTACCAGGTGATGGCCTAGATTCGAAGAACATCGAAATAATGATTTTTAAAATAATATTTTAAAAAAATAAAAAAAAAACGAGAAAAAGAAAAAAAAAGAGAGAGAAACAATCAGTCCGAGTTCACTGAAGCTATTTTGTCTGAAGCAACAATGACAATGATAAAAAAGGCGCCCCAAGACCGGGAAAGATTCTCCTGCCTGAAGGAAATTCACAGAAAATTCACGAGAAATTCTCCCAACATTTCGCCAGACCTGATGCAGGAGGTACCGCGTAGGTCAGCAGTCCTCATCCTTCCTTCTGGGCTTCGGCCCCGCGGTCCGGGGCAGCTGTACTGCGGGGACGATCAAGTTAGTGACGCTGCCGCCCCGGCTGGTCTGCCGGACCTCCACGTCGCAGGGTGACAAGGGTGTCGACATGGACGGGATACTCGACGATCTTTGGGTGAGGACGCGGGGGTTGGACGGCCGCTTAACGGGCGCCGGATGGGGCGTCGAGAAGCGCTGGCTTGAGGAGGCGCCGTTTAAGGTCAACTTCTGAGCGAGGGCTGGCGTAACGTCCTCACGCGTCTGCGCATACATTTATTCAATTATTAATGTGCAGTGAATGAGCTTCTTATTATCCCATAAGTTAAATCTCTGTCAGTGACCCAAATGTTATGTTAATAACTTCGTTTCGGTTAGGCGTCTCGTGTAGTGCTTTTTAAATCCTCATAATAATGAATGAAATACTCACCCAGTTGTCTGAGGTGATAATCTTGAGCATGTGGGCATGATGCCCGCCATCAACACTCACCCAGTTGTCCGAGGTGATAATCTTGAGCATGTGGGGCATGATGCCCGCCCTCAGGACGAGCTCGCGCACCTCGGAGCTGTCGCCCGCCATGTTGACCAGCGCCCAGACTGCTTCTTCGGCCAGGGCTGGGTCAGGGCTGGTGACCAGCGGCAGCAAGTATGGAGCGCAACCAGAACCTGCAACCATGCAAGTCATCAATCAAAGGAATAAAACATGGGAAAAAATAAAACTATGAGATACGAAATAAATTATCACAAAGGCACAGATCGAAATAAAAAAGGTTCATTCATATCATTTTCATATGACCGACAATGATAAATTGTAATTAGAATTATTCTACTTCCTAAAGCAGATAATTGATGAAAATATTAATATATAAAAAATTAAAATAATCTAATTTTATTCGGTTGCCGCAATTTTCTACTGGTCATGCGAACCTGGTATTTCTACACGGTTGATCGTCTTCATTACGAGACTAGTCATCATGGTTTTGACTTACAGGAATCAATAAATTCTTATAAAACGTATTGTTATTTAACATTAAATATTATTGACCATCAATCTTCTTTGGATCAGCTGGTATCTCTGAAGCTAACTTATAGCTACTTTACGCGTTCGACTTGCTATATAGTGCGAATTGAGGTACAAAAGCAGAAACAGATGGCAATGTTCAAAAAGGCATCGCCAAAATAAAATAATATTGATATGCGCCAAAATTTGAAAAATTTAGCGCACTTTATATGCGCCAAAATTTACATTGAAAAAAATATTTTTTTATTGGCACGTGAAATATAGTGAGTTATTACTGAGTAATTTAACGCGAATCAAAACTAACAGTTCATGAAATGAAGAAAAAGTACAAAACTTATATTAATAGTCCACGTGAAGATTGCCACCTCGACACTACACATAAGTATAGTCATCAACAGTATATAAAATAAAATCACTGGTCAATACATTATTCATGGGTGTGTATACATTACTTAGGCTTATAAAAGAATAACTAAGTAATATATGTGTAATTGTATATGTTGCGATAAAGCTTACGGAACCTGGTTCCAAAACTTTAAAAATATGCCCGTTGGGAGCAAACGACGGTGATTTTTTTCTCAGCCCTCTGGGCAATAACAAACTCCTAAAGCCGAGAGAGGCTCTGAAAGCCTTTTATGGGAGGCCTGACAACATTGAACTTGAGGAAAAAAAGGCTCGGCACGGCCCCGCATGAGGCCTTCTAGTCATCTTTTGGGCCTCCAACGAGGAAAGTTTCTAATATGCCACAGCGGCCTTGTCCGGCGCTGTAAACAATGCTTGTAGTATATCACATACTAGCAAACTAGTTTGCTAGTATATCACATACTAGCAAACTGTTCCTTGAAATGCTGTACCATCTCCAGTTCTTTCAGTTGTTAGATAAATTATTCAGTTTTATAACCTAGACAACCTTGAACTTCTCGACTCACACCCAAAAGTTTTCTAAATAAAATATTTTTCAGTCCCACGTGTTACATTTATTTCCCGTTAGTTTTCGTTTCTTATTTTTTTTTTTTTTTTGCTGCAGAGAAATCATATTCTAATTTCTGAAGGTGCGACTTCATATTGACGGAGGTTTCGTCCAGTGTCAGCGGAATATTTGATGAAAATTTGCAGATTTTAAACTGTTAAGCAACGATTCAATTATCAATACAAACCTCTATTTTGATCAGCTTTGTCGAATTGAGAGCAGCCATCTACCCCATATTATGAACATTGAGTATGTTATAAAATTTCAATTCCAGTAAAAAAAGTGTGAGTGTCTCATAAAAGTTCATATGCAACATATTGAGTGCAAAGACAAATAAATCAAAAAAGTAATAGATTTACAGGTGACGAGCTAGGATGAGAAATGATTCATGCACCATATTCTCCTGCCTTCATCCCTTACGATTAGCAGACGTGTCATATGACTCCAGAACCATTGAAATGGTCTTAATGTTTGCCTTGTTTCATCTACAGGTTTGTTTGCGGATGCAACAAAACTCTAGACAACACAGGAGCTTATGACAGCGAGTACATTTTATCGCGCTAACGGTAATTTAATAATTAATGGGTATAGGAGATCTAGTACCGTATTACTTGAGCGAGAACTCGAGACACAGGAAATAGTCTGACTAACCTAGCCAACCAAATTCGAGAGGAAAACTGATGTTGAATCTTACAAAAATGTTTTTTTTACGAATAGCTTTGTTGTAAAATTTAATGTTTTTATTCCTATTTATAAGGATCCTATATTAATATAGGATCCTTATAATATATAATATAGGATCCTTTCCTATTATAGGATCCTTTCCTATTTGTAAGGATCGATCGGTTATACTAATTTAATCAGCGCTATTTAACTTGAGAGTCTCACCTACAACGCTGTCGGTGAGCTCAGGAGGTCCCGTAACAAAATTGCTGATAATCTTGACCGTAGGTAAACGAATTTCAGTGCTGAAAATAAAAGTTTCAATTAATATTTGTGCTGAAAACTTATCATTATTAATGCATATTTGCGCTGATAATATGGGATTCGTATTAACGTCAACTAAACCTGCGACATTAGGGCATCACTTAAGAGACGTCCTTCACGAAGGACTCTGAAAAATTAACACTTGAAATATTGTTAGTAATAAGGTTCTTAGTTAAAGGAAAATTTCATTAAAACACGCAAAAATTTAACCAAATAACATTGGCTGTACCGCAAAAGTACATAAAACTCTAGATAATTATAGTTATCAACAGTACGGTATATAAAATACAAATCAATAGTCAATACATTATGGGTGTACATCCATTACTTAGATTGTACATATGTTAGATTGTACACATAGTGGAGATTGTTCATCAGGTACAATCTCCACAGCTCCTGAAGGCACACATAACCTTCCACGGACCTGTCATGGATACGCAGGCAGTTCCTGAGGTGCGTGAGGAGGCCGGCGTCGATGTACTCCCCAGCACGACGGTAGCTCGGGTCGCCACGCAGGTCTTGCAGGACTTTACCTATGCCCTCCAGCTGCGTGGTGGTGTTAGAGCTCGCGACCTGCTGCACGCGGCGTGTCACCTGAACACGAAACATCGTGCACAACCTCATGTTCACTCATAAAATATAACTCAGTACTCACTGCAGTGAGTGACAGAGAGCGCATTTTCTCGGCGACGAAAACTTGAGGTCACGGACGGACAGACAGACAGACAGACAGACAGACGGGCATGGCGAGCACAATAGTGCATTTTTTCCATAAATGAGAAAATGCGCTAAAAAGGCCCAATTAATATTGAAATAATTCGTAATCAAAGTTCAAAATCCGGGACGCACATGAAAAAGATCGTAAGTAAAATCCCGATTAAAAAACGAATTCTTCTTACTTGTCCTATGTTTCGATATTTCGAAATGAGGAGAAAAGCTGTAACTGCCGTACGGCGTATCACGTAACACGCGATTACTGCAGCATTTTTTTCTTATTCGTGCCTGGCTTCTGTCATCAAATTCTTTGTACAGTAGAACCTCAGTTAATGACAATAATCCGTCCCAGAAAGGTTGACGTTAGCTGAAACGTTCATTAACCGAAATAATTTGCAAGGAATTATTGCTAGAAGGAGGAATCCCCGCCAAGAGAACATCGGGAATTGTAACCTCGGAGGTCGATTCCCTTCTCTCTCTCGCTTTGAGGTTGTAGCAAAAACTTATCCAGTGTCTGTTTCTTCTGCTCTTTTTGTAGCACTTTTCGATAATACGACGTCACATTGCCATTAAACAAGTTTAGGCTCATATAGCCCACCGCACAACTATCACTCTTAACCTTATTTGGAGGCATTTCTGAGGTCTATAATTATCCAGATAAAACACAAAAGCACTACCTACATAAGATGGATATGATCAGACAAAGATTAGGAACGTCTAATCAAAAATGAATCTTCTGCAGGAGTGAGCATCATGTCGTTAGCATTATGTTCGTTAACTGAAATTTTGTTCGTTCCCAGAGGTGAATTTTTATCGAAATTCTTAACCTTTGATTTCGTTAACCGAGGCCTTTGCTAACCGAGGTTCTACTGTAGTTTCTAATGTTATCACAAAGGAGGTTAGATGCTGATTTCTCAGACCGATATTTTTCAGAACTTCCACTAAGAAATTTGAAGCGTGCAAACGTCACTCAAAGAAATTTGGTTCGAAACGGGAGTAAAAGTTTGATCTTTGGATAATATTTCGCAGAAATACCTCATGCGATGTTTGCATCAATTGCAAATCCTCTTTGCATTTCCAATCGCAAAATTTTATTTCAGGCATAAAAGAACAACACGGTTTCGTTCTAGCAAGTGAGTTAATTGTTCATGTTAAAGTAATATCACTTTCATTATATTTTTCCAGAATCAAATCAATGTCAGTTAAATCAATTTTTTCAGTAATTACACAAGTAATTCAGTAATTCAGTCCAGCTATGCTTTCGACGCTCCCAACAGATGATACAATTGGTGATATTAAAATCATCTTCATCACTCGAGCCACTCACCAAGGTGTTGCTGAGAGGCTGAGTGGCGTTCAGCAGGACGTCGGAGTGGCGGTGGCGGTCCAGAGGGTTCTCCTCCCCATCAGCGGAGGGGACGCGGGAACTGGAGGGGAGGGACGGCGAAGTTCACACACGAGACGAGATAAAAAATTATATCAGTTTACACAGAGTTCCAAAAATACCTTGCTTTTCATTTATTGTACAACCTTCATCGTACAATAAATAATATGTGCAAGATTAATTATAAATAAATGTGTACTGTAACAGAAGATATGGTAATTTGAAAGCTGTTGGATACCATAATTTGCTAGTGTTTTCAGCTGAGCGAGTCACTGTGTCAAGTGAAAAGAAGAATGAGAGTAAGAAATCAAAATCTTTGAGGAAGATTGTATGATTTTTCAGTAGTACTTTGAACTCTAGAGGTTGTTTGAAGTGAAATTCTATACATCTTTTGTGCAACAAGATTGTGTTATTCGTTTCTGAGTACAAACGTTATGCTTACATTGATTATCTCTATTGCGATAAAATAATCAAGTCTCGATTAAAATTTCGAACGGTGTAAATAATTTTGATACAAAATTTTGAATATTTGAGTGCGTAATGAAGGCCTCAAGTATTGTCGTAGTGAATAGAAATTAAAGTAAAATGGTCGGAGCGAAACATATTGTCATTTCATCGCAAGCGAAACTCCAAAAGGAGTTGAAAGCTGTCCAAAAGGCGGTCAGGTCTTAGACAGCTCGCTTTCCTTTTTTCTTAGTGCCACTATTCCATCAGCATGATTTCTACTTAACTTGGACACTTAATTATAAAATGCTTTTTGATGAATAATAAGATATATATGCCAAGACTTAAAATACACCTCCATAACGGAGTTCTTTTTGCCGTGCAGCACCAATATTATAGTTATCGTTACAATAACCGACATCTGGCGCTATCCATCACAACTGCTAGAATTGGATCCACGATTCAATTAAGAACAAGCCAATAATTCTGTCGGCAAATCCTCCTCTGCAATAGAATGAGTCGGTTTGTACAGAAACTCTAAGCGTGTCTCACACGAGGCTGTGTCCGTATAGCGGTGTCTGTTTCTGTTGATAATAAACCAGAATATCCCAATGCCCCCTACATTTTAATATCAATAAATTACAATAAACTACAATACACTTCAATAAACTAAACCATCTTACATCCCACGATGTCTCATACAATGTGCTCAAGCAGCGTCTTCCATTAAGGTGGGACTTGGCGTCAGGGACCCAGCGTCAAACTGCGTGTAACAGCGTCAGA